AAGGAGAAAAATGAAAGAATTAATATTTGAAAAAGAAAAGAAATTAAAGAGAAGGAGAGAAAAGGCAGGTAATCCAACTAAAGAGTTCATAGAATTAGGTAACAGTAACAAAGAAAAAACAAAAAAAAAAATACAGAAAAGTAAAAGAGCAAAAGAAAGAAGAAAAGGAAGAGAGAGAAAAGACTAAAAACAAGGAGAAATGAGTCCAAAAAGTTCCTGTGTGTTTGGGTTTGTGGTTTCTTTCCATGATCTGTACTAGTAGGCTCCACTGGGTGTAGGAAGGGATAGTGGATCAGAACTAGGGCCTGTTTTATTTCCATGTCCACTTTTTGTGTGCGTGTGTCCCACTTTTCTTGCTGGGCAGGGTGTCTTCCTTATGATTCTTAGTATCTGTACCTCACTGTTGCTGTTCTCTCCAGCCTGTGTGTGGGCTTGTGCCCCTGGATATGGTAACAGGGCTGGGGCTTATCCCTCCACATGTTGGCGGATGGGGGAAATCCAACAGACCCCTGGGCTTGGTGCTCCATGTGTAGGCAGGGGGTGGGGTGAGGCCGTCAAGCAGCCCGGCAGACCAAGCCCCACAGAAAACCACATGTACCTCCTGACCTCTCACCACAGAGGGCAAGACCATGTCTCCTATTTTGTTTTCTATTTTCTTTTTTGGTACTGGGAATCGAACTCTGGGCCTTGCTCTTGCTAGGCAGGTGCTGCGCTGCTGAGCAACATCCCCAAGACCATGTTTCCCAAACTGAGCTCACCCCCAGTTAAATTTGTCAGGGGGTCAATGTCTAGCCCATACCTTCCCCATGATTGTCTCTTACGTCTGTCTCTCACCCAGTCACAGGTAGGGAGACCCCAGAAACCCTAAAGTATAGTTGTCTTGTAGCTTCTGATTCTTGGGAGTAGCTCGGTTTTAAACAGTGAACCCTCCTCAAAATGGCCCCTGTTCAGTCTCTCTCAGGGATGCCAGGTGCTATAGTGGGTTTTTGCTCCAGCTCTTCTCTGCCATGCAGAAGTTCCAGAGTAAAATCTTGCACTGTATTTGCAGTTTACAGTAACCATGGGCTTTTTGGGGATGCTAAAGCTGCTATTTTTAAATTTTATTTTAATCCTGGGTTTGCCAGCCCTTTCTGGACTTCCTTTGTGTTTTCTAGGACAGGTCTGTGCCCTAGGATCCAGGGCCAGCTTTCCAGACTGCGCCACCCTTTCTATGCGTTCTCTGTAGTTTCTTCAGTTTCTCTGATTTCCAGTTTGTTGGTTGGCTCTTTCTCGTTTCGTGGTGCTGTTCCCTTTCTGTTCACTAGTGCTTGTTTTCCAGGTACCTGGATTTCAGGTCCTGAAGAGGCTGTCATATGGTACTGGCCTTTACTCTGGCATTTTCTTTGTTGAGTCTCATTTTCTTCATATGTAAAATGGCCACAATAGTAGTACTTGTCCCATAGGAGTGTTCAGCTGGTGAGATGAGATATTCATTAAAAAGTTTGCATGGTATACTTCACATAATTAGCTGTTTATTTGGTTACTTCTGGTTGCTTTTTCATCCCATAAAGAGTCAAATTGGCTTTAACTTATAGTGAATCACAATTAAAATTAGGTAGAAAATCTAGGTTGAATTACATTCAGGTTAGTGTAATATAGTATTTGGCCAGGAGAGGGCTACCTTCCTCCAGCTATGAAAATTATGAGCCGTATTGCGTGCACACTTTTCTTCTTCTTGCATATTATGACATGTTCATTGTGCAGATAAAGTTAAAATAATTTGAAATAGTATTACAAAATTGTAGATTTACTGTTTGATAGATGATAATATATAGCTATTCTGATTATTTTGAGAGTTGGCATTTGAAGCAAAATGCTCTTTTGACTATCATCATTGTGTTCCAACTCTAAAGTAAATTTTAACTGATAAATGTAAACATTTCATTTGAGTTTTAGAATTTTTTATCCTTATATGTTAAAAAATATTTAATGTACAATTTGGGATTTTTTTTATTATACCCTAATGTTGCACCTGTACTGTACCTATGATGCCGTAGTTAAATATCATTGAGATGGTGTCATAGCTATCATACCATACTGCCACCTGCTCCAAATTAGTGTCAATCTCTGTTTTGTAGGGTGTTATGTCATCTTCAGAACAGAAAGTTAGGTGGCTGGATATTCAGCATCAGGGATTAGGTTTGACTTTGAAGATTATATATGCGCAAGTAATGTTTCTTTATCTTTTTTCTTTTGTGGTATTAGGCTCAAACCCAGGGGAATTTTAACACCGAGCAATGTCTCAAACCTTTTTTATTTTTTTCCTTTGAGAAAGATTCATTAAGTTGCCTAGGTTATACTTGAACTTGGACTCTTTCTGCTTTAAATCTCCTGAATAGCTGAGATTACTAACATGAGTCCAAGTGTGTGTTATTAGGCTCAAACCCAAGGGAATTTTAACACTGAGCGATGTCCCAAACCTTTAATGTGATTTAATGAGACCTTGTCTCAAAATAAAATTTTAAAAGGAGCTAGAAGGTATACTTTAGTGGTAGAGTGCTTGCTTAGCAAAGCCCTGGGTTTATTCTCATTAGTTTAATAACAAAAAACAAAAAATGAGGAAGACACAGACAAAGAGACAGACAGAGAAAAGGAAAATTAGCTTTATGTGTGGGTGTTACAGTTCCTTAGCGCTCTTACCTGCATGTCTTGGTCTTTTTCTTCCTGTTTAATCTCATATACTCCTAGGTTTTTAGATGGCTGCTATTGAAATAACTGAGCAGATGGGGGATAGCTGGTTGCTAGCTGGTTGAATGAATGGATAGAAAAGAAAAAGATAAGACAAATCAATAGCTTTCTTATGAATCAGAGCCTCCATGCAGATGATTCCATATTTATCAAGAGATTGAGCAATGAATTATCTGTCAAGCCAATTTGCTTCTTACCTTACTGACTTTGCCATAGCCACGCTTGTATATTAGTTCATTCACTGGCTTCAGGTTTGGGTTCCCCCATGCAATATATGGCTGCACAGTTCTCAGCATGTTAATTGAAACCTTGTGGAGCTTAACGAAGGTACCATGGAAGATTTGGCGACGGTGAAGAAGCTGCAACACCTTGCAGACTTTGGGTTTACACCATTGATACCCCTGATCCGGATGACAAATGCCAGTTTGGGCTCTGCAGGGACATAGTAGTTGTCAGCTTTTCTCACCATCCTAGCCATTCGTGTCTCAGTTCTGTACATCTGTCTGTACTCCTTATGATAGTGTCTGGGCTTTTTCATAGATGAACTTCCTCCTTGCCTTGCAAAGTGTCTTCTGGGCAAATTTCTTTCTCAGGTGCTTTATCTTCAACTCTGCAAAATGTCTTTGCTTTTTCTTAAGGCTTTCTGGCACAGCAGGAGCCTTCTTTTTCTTCTCTTCTACACTCTCCATGGTTCCAGCGGAAAAGAGGAATGGACTTTTTTTGTGCTTAATCTCTGTAGCCTTTAAAGGGCTGTTGCTTATGAGACCTCCTATCTGAATCTTTTGTTTTTCTCCATTTATTACCTTTCCTTGCTGACTTATTAGCCTGCAGAACCTTCAGAAACATTTCCCCTGAGATCGTATTATAGGACACTCCATGTAGTGGTGATTTTCTTCTCTCTCTCTCTCTCTCTCTCTCTCTCTCTCTCTCTCTCTCTCTCTCTCTCAGTGTTTAGTACAGGGGCTGCAGGTCTTACCACACAGACCTGGCTTGGAGTGGTCCTCCTGTTTTCAGTCTCCCAAGTGCTGGGGTACAGGCACACTTCACCACACCTAGTCTCAGTCGCCCTTTCAGCGTGCTGCAGGGGCAGGGCCAGCACAGCACACTGGGGATCAAACCTGGTCCCCGCATCTGTCTAAGCAGGTGCTTTAATCTGCTGAGCTGTCTGGCCAGCCCTATAGTAGTGATTTTCAAAAATTTACTCAAATACATCTTTAGTGCTTTTCTGTTTTCTTTGATAACCATTGTAGAGTTGAAAAATTTGTTTTGTGACATAATTGTATGTCTTGTCATCTGTAGATAACTATGGAAAAGGTCAGAAATGTCACCTATATGTAACTTTAGAAAAATATTGTGGAAAGTGAATATTAGTAAATTGCTTTCATATGTTGATCATCTCCATAAGTAAAATAAATTATTGCTTAATGCCGGTGTGGTGGTGCACACCTGTAATCTCAGCACGGGGAAAGTTGAGGGAAGAAAATCACTGCAAGTCTGAGGCCAGCCTGTGTTACAGAGTTCAGAGCCAGTCTCACCTAGATAGCAAGATCTGTCTCAAAAAATAAAAGAAAAAGAAATAAAAAGAAGATAAATTATTGCTTAGATTACAACTTGTGAGAGCTTTTCTTATTTGTCAATATGAGATTTCTTTTTTTTTTCCTGTGGTACCTGGGATTGAATTTAGCACTTGCCAGGCAAGTGCTTATTCTACTGAACTATCTCCCTGGCCCTGTATGAGATTTTTTTTTCCTTCTTCTTCTGTATTCTAAGGAAGATTCTATAGGGTGTTCAGGACCTCCCTACTAGATCAGACTTGTAGTGATCTTCCTCTTTACAGCCTCCCAAGAGCTGGGATTACAGGCGCGTGCCACCATGCCCAGTCTCAATTGCCGTCTCAGTGTGCCCTGGGGGCGGGGCAGCATGGCAGGCCTGGGGATCAATCTCGCCAGCCCCTGCGCCTGCTTGAAGGTGCTTTAATCTGCTGAGCTATTTGGCCGGCCCTTGAGATTTCTTTTTTTAGGTGCAATTTTTAAAGTTTTATTCTACCTGTTTCAGATTATAGGAAAGCATAAGATATGGATCTTTCCCAGAAAGGCCTAACATAGTTGCAGATATGATTAAAGGACTTAAAGGATTGCAAAACAGTGTAATGTTTTATCTGTAAGACTATAAACGAACTACACTATTGGGAAGAATGGTGCTAATAGCTACAACTGTCACACCACCTCAGGGTAATGGTAATATGTAATAAAACAGTACTATTTCCTTTTCAGGGCATTCATCCTCAAAGAAAACAGAAGATTCTATAAACAGTAAGTGTCAAGTGTGTTTTTAATGGAGATTACAGTTTGGCTTTTCATAAAGTATATCTTGATCTGATGTGAATTTTGTTATTGTACTTCATAAGAAAAATCATAGGAAAGATGCCAAAGGTAAGTCTTTACTCCTCAAGAAAAATTTAAATTTAAGTATAGAGCATTAAAATTTTTTTCAGTAAATGTATTTTTTCAGTAAATACATTTCACATTATAAAATGTGAAGGAAGTGAAATAGAGGGGTAAAGTTGGAATGAAAAATGAACAAGGATTAGTTAAGATTGAAGGGAAGTTGCTTATATTGCATGAGTCTTGAGTGATAGTTTAGTGATTTTTTTTCATTACCTTGTATGGTTTGTATGTGGATAAGAAAATCTTGGTAGCTGATTGCTGTTGGTTAATATTAAATTAGATCTATAGTTTTCACCAGTTTAGATCAAAATGGATTGGATTTCACTGAATACAGTGGTACATCAATTTATGAATTTAATTTATTTTATAATTTGGGGGAAGGTGGCAGTGTTTGTGTTTGTGTGGGGAAGATGGTCATTGTGTTTGTGTTTATCGCCTGATGCAAAGTTCACAAATGGGAATAAGTTTTGCCAAATGCTATTGTTTGGAAATAGAAGCGTTTGTGACCTGGGGTATCACTGTCTGTGTTGTTAGTTCTATTCCCCTGCAGTATCACGATGAGAATTCACAATAGCGGACCAGGGAGAGAGCGCATATAAGCGCTTGCCCGGCAAGCATAAGATCATGAGCGCAGTCCCTGGTACTGAAAAAAAAAAAGAATTCACAAGGACTTTAACAACGTCTGGCGGCCGGGGCGCCTCCGCCCGCCAGGAGCGCGCCCGCGGGGAAGGGGCGGGGCCGCGGCGCGCAGGCGCAGTACGCGGGCGTGAAGCGGCGGCGGGGTCCAGACCGCGGAAGCTTTGGAGCGTTGCAGGAGCTTTCTGAACGAGAGCTGCCGTCCTGACGGAGGAGAGCGTGGTGAATGCCGAACCACAACTGTCAACATAGGTTCAATTAGTACAGCAGACGGTTCTGCTCTGGTGAAACTGGGAAATACTGCAGTAATTTGTGGCGTTAAAGCGGAATTTGCAGTACCACCAACAGATGCCCCTGATGAAGGGTATGTGGGTTGAACGCCCTTCCTTTAGAAGCTACTTTCATAGCTGCGGAGTGTTTCTTTCAGTTCCTAATGTGGATCTGCCACCGCTGTGTTCATCGAGATTTCGCTCCCAGGTGGCGAGTCAGTTCATCGCAGATGTCATCGAAAATTCGCAGATAATTCAGAAAGAAGATTTATGTATTTCTTCTGGAAAGCTTGCGTGGGTTTTATACTGTGATCTCATTTGCCTGGACTATGACGGGAACATTTTAGATGCCTGCACATTTGCATTGTTAGCGGCTTTAAAAAATATACACCTGCCTGAAGTGAGTATAAATGAAGAAACTGCTTTAGCAGAAGTTAATTTAAAGAAGAAAAGTTTCTTGAATATTAGAACACACCCAGTTGCAACTTCTTTTGCTGTATTTGATGACACTTTGCTGATAGTTGACCCTACGGGAGAGGAGGAGCATCTGGCAACAGGAACCTTAACAGTAGTGATGGGCGAGGAAGGCAGGCTCAGCTGTCTTCACAAACCAGGTGGAAGTGGGCTGACTGGAGCTAAACTTCAGGACTGCATGAGCCGAGCAGTTACAAGACACAAGGAAGTAAAGACCTTAATGGATGAAGTAATAAAGAGCATGAAACACAAATAAACCAGCACCACATTTTCAAAACAGATTTATAAAAATTGTATTTGTTAGGCTGCACAAACTTTTTATACTAAATAAATATCAAGCTACATTCTTCTATAAAAGGTGATTCTAATACTTCTTAGGTCCCTTCCACATATATACATTAAAACCATTTGTAAAAAGCAATGACTTAGGCAAAACAACCCTGGTTCATGAAACTATTTCCCTGTTTTTATTTAAACATCATAGGGTTGTACTTTTGTATAAGTTTGTACATTTAGCAGTGTAAAATACTGAAACATTAAAAAACAAGATGAAGTAAAAACTCAAAAAAATGTCTATAAGATTTTTAAGGTAAAAAGAATTAATAATGGCAATAAGGAGGGTAGAATAGCAATGAAGAGCTACAGATAAAACTGATACAGAGAAAAGCGTGCCGAAAGTTTTGTATGATGGTAAAAATACATCGCAGATTTGTCACTGGTGGTGACAAATGGGTTCTGTGGTGACTGATAAGTTCTTCCTGTCAGCCAAACAGAATAGTAATAGCATGAATAGAGTGATTCATAGTACTCATAAGACAACAGAGAACTCAGGAATTAGTTTTGAGAGAAGAATCTCTTTTGGATTTATGAAAGGGGACATTGATCATTAATTTGTGGTGACATATATGTTTATTTATTTATTTTTAATCTCTTGGGAACTAGAGAATTTAGTTGTCCAAACTCAAATAGTTAATGGCAGAGTTAGAATTAAACACAAATTTATAATTCCAAAATCTGTGCCCCATATCAGCTGTGCCTCAGTAAAGCTAATATAGGTCCACTCTTTATGTCCTTATTTTGCCAAGTACATTAAATAGATCCACCTTAAATAATTGGATCCATTTGTGTTTCATTTCTATTATAAAGTGGGTATGAAGAGACCTGTTTGTTTGGTTGGGTTGTCGTCAGAATCCTGAGGAAACATGTACTTGAAGTATGTACCTGACACATACTTGATCATCTGTAGCTATTATTGTTATGTCACAGGAAAAGACCAAATATTAAGCAGATTCTGTGTTCATTTTATAAATGATCAGATTTAAGTCTGTGAACATCGAACCTGTCCATTTTTCATGATTATTGGAGACATTTTCCATCTCTTCACTGAGTTTCTAGAGAGAAAGGCCACAAAAACCACCTTGATAGACTGTTTTCATTATTTAAAACACTTGGAAAAAATTATGTGTAGTTTTAGGCACTACAGTCTAAAGGGAACATTGAAAAACTGAAGCAGATCAGGAAGAGAACAACCTTCTTGAACAGTACTTGAAATGGTGCCAGAGAACAAGTGTTGGCTGAACTAGCTACACACTAGTGTTGGTGTGTAGCTAAGAGACAAGGAGAGGGTGAGAGAAGAGCTGGAGAGAGGTACATGGAAAGGCTGCTGCTGTACAGAAGACTTACTTTGATGCTCACATTGGCAGATTCAGATTCTATTAATAAAAATTTCCTGGAAACAGATGACTGCCTCACTTAAGAAAATAATTGGTCACTTAAAACAATTTAACAAAAAGAATGGAGGAATGGGCTGTTTCAGAGGTAATGTGTTCAAGCACTGATCAGCCAACTACTCTTTATTAAGTAGGTCACAATGAGAGCTTCATTTTTCAGAGAAGGGCTGGACTAGAGGACTTCTATGTTTCTCTTCTAACTCAGAGAAGTAGTGTCTTAAATTCTGATCCCCACCTGCCAGAAGTCACTGCAGAGCTCCGACTGTAATGGTGGAAGAGCACCATGTGGCAGTGACCGTTCTGCCTTTCTTCCTTAGCAGTGCTTCTTCAAGTGACTTCCACCTTCTGACAACCAGAGTATTTTAAAGTGAAGATTTTAAGGTCATAATGGTATTTGGCCACTTTTTCAATGAATTCTTTTGCAGAAGGAATTATCTACTAATGTTATTCTAAACTGATTGATTGTTTTAGTAAATTGGATTGTCTGCTATAAAAAATCTGTAATATGAAATCTGGGATGTGGGAAGTACTGTTTCAGGGGACAAAGAACAGGTAGTGGTAAGGCTTTTTGAAATCAGCTCCCTGCTTTTAAAGGCCTGATAGGCTTTCTCTGACATCTTAACACAATACCAGATAGACAGCATTAGTAGGCCTAGTTTTTCTGTGCTTTGTGTATGTCAGGCTAGTGAGTTTTCATAAAAGGTACAGAGTTTTATTCTTCTCACATCAATTTGAAACACTAGCAGTTCCAGTGGTGTCTGTCATTGTGCAGGAATCTTCTTCCCAAGATGCTGTGATTTCACCATTTGTGTATAGATCTTTGAAATACAACACATACCTCCCTCCCCCTTCTCCCCTATTTTTGTTAAAATTAGTGCCACAACAGATTCATTGAAGACTAAAGTTCAGACACACACATTGATTCAGAGATCAAAGTCCAGCAGGTGAAAGTCTAGAGCCACCCTGGAAAATCAATACTGTTTTACTTTTGTATTGTGCTGAACTAAAGGGACGTTCTGTCCTGACAGGCCAAATTTTTGTTAAAATGATACTTGTAGTATTAACTTAGAATTACCCCTTGCAATGTAGTTGTTTTTGATTGTTCTTCTTTTGACTCATGTAACAGATACACAAGTTAAGACTTTCGTACAGAGCATATTTATGTTACAACCAGTACCTTAAAGACAGTTCTTTTTTAAACATGTGGTTATTATTGGAAAGAAATTATTTGCTAATATAATTACTTTGTGGAATATGGCTTCATTACCCGGTCATACATTCTCCAGTATTTAATAATCTTTGTTTGGCTAATATAGTTCATTTGAAACTTAGTGGTTTTTAAAATTTTCATGATGGAAGTATCTTTGTTATTTTTACTGCTTTTAAAGTTAGTGCATACTTACTGTCTTAATAGAAGCAATTTGGAAACGTTTAAAGTAGAAAGCAAAAATATCCAGCACTCACACGTAGTATAATCACGGTTAATTTTGATTGGTCTTTACCATCCTATGATTATATATGTGAACATAAATTTACATATATAAAACATATTCCCTTGTAAGTATTAATATTGGAATTGCTACTTTAGGTTAGTTTAGAGAAGCTTTTCATGAGACATTAAATTAATGGTTTTCTCCGAGATTCTGGTATTTCTGCAGTTATACTTATTTTTAAAAAATTTTATTATATCTGGAAGACTGAATTAAATTTCCAAAGAACCATAAAAGTTGAAGCTGAATTGCAGTTTAAGTCCAAAGTTAATTGCATTGTGAGTAGCTTAAAGTGTGTTGTAAGTGTAACATCTTATTCACAATTTTCTTTTAAATGAACAGAAAACTCTGATGAGGAGGAAAGTGCTTCAGAGTCTGAACTTTGGAAGGGCCCACTCCCCGAAACAGATGAAAAGTCACAGTAAGTGCTGCTAAGAGAAGAAATGCAGATGCTTTAAGCAGTGTAGACGGCCTTGCCAGTAGTGGTTGTTGTAGTAATTAATGAAAAAATGTTACATCATGAATGTCTCTTTAGTGCCAAGGACTACCTTGCTTGGTAAGATGAGTTTATTTCTGTCCTTTATTGGTGGCCATAAACAGCTCATGTGTCCAGCTTCCTTGAGGTGAATGCACCTTTCATCTGCCTACCGTATCAGATGAGCCACTGGTCCTTGTTTTAATAAGATGAGATCCCAGTTGTTGATTCTTTGTGATATTTCCTGTGTAGTTGGGGTTTTGTTCATAAAGTCTTTGTGTATGCCAGTGTCTTCAAGAGTTGTAACTATTCCATCTTTCAGCAGATTTAGTGTTTCTGTTAATAGATCTTTGAACCATTTTGATTTTATTTTAGTGCATTGTGAGAGATATGGATCTAGTTTTAATCTTTGGCATGTGGAAAACCAGTTTTTTTCGGCACCGTTTATTAAAGAGACTGTCTTTCTCCTAGTGAAAGTGTTTAGCTCCTTTGTCAAAGAGAAGGTGGCTCTGCCTGGAGTTGTTCTGCATCTTGTAACCTGTTCTATTGCTGTTTTTATCACTGTAGCTTTTAGTATAATTTCTAGTCAGGAGTTAGGATGCCCCATGCTTTGCCTTTGTTGGCCAGGATTGTCTTTGCTATTCTAGGTCTCTTCTGGTCCCAAATGAATTTTAGGATTATTTTCTCTAATTCTGTGATGCTGTTGGAATTTTGATTGGGATTGCATTGAATCTGTATAATAATTTTAGAAATATGGCCATTTTCACTGTATTGGTTCTTCTACTCAGGAGCAAGGGATGATATCTTTCCTTTTGCTGGTATCCTCATTAGTCTCCTTTTTCAGAGTACTATTAAATTGATTCCTAGGTATTTGTTTTCTTTTCTCTTCTTTTTTTCTTTTCTTTTTTGGATGCTATTGTGAAAGGTGTTGTTTCCCTAATTTCTCTTTTATTGATTGTGTTATGTATAAGAAGGTTAGTGTTGAATATGGTTATTAAATCTAGAAGTCTCTTGGTGAATCTTTTGGGGTCTTTTGCAAAGAATAACTTCTTTCTTTCTTGTCATTGTTCCTCTCTTTTTTGCATTTTATGTATTTGGTATAGGGTCTCACTACACAGCTCAGATTCATAGTGTGCCCCAGCTCAGGGTGCCAGGTGTGGGGCTAGCAAGGCATGTGGTGCCAGGGATTAAACCCTGGTCCCTGTGCTTGCCTAAGGAAGTGCTTAGTCTGCTGCTGGCCCTTTGTGTGTGTGTGTGTGTGTGTGTATGTGTGTGTGTGTGTGTGTATTTTTTCTTCCTTTTAAAAAAAATTATCTTTTACTTGTTTATTTGGTAAGGGGTCTATGTAGCTGGGACTCATAGAGATCCTCCTGTTTCAGCCTCTCCAGCCTGGGATTACAGGTGTGCACCATGATGCCCGGTTTTCATGGCTGGCACAATGTGCATACTGGTGATCGAACCCAGGTCCTTGTGCTTGCCAGGCAGGTGCTTAGACTGCTGAGCTATCTCTCCAGCCTCTTCATGCTGTCTGATTGCTGTAATGTTTCAGAACTATATTGCATAGGAGTGGTGACGGTGGGCATCCTTGTCTTTTTTTTGGTGGAACTGGGGATTGAACTCAGGCCCTTGCACTTGCTAGGGAAGCACTTATTCCACTGAGCCATCTCCCCGGCCCAGCATCCTTGTCTTGCTCCTGATTTTAGTATGAAAGATTTTGGGTTTTGTCCTTTTATTTTTTTAAAAAAATCTTTTATTAATTAATTAATTTATTTATTTGGTACAAAGTTTCACTGCACAGCTTGAATTTGTAGTGATCCTCTTGTCTCAGCCTCCCCAGTGCTGAGATTACAGGTGTGTGACACCACGCTCAGATTTGGTGGCCAGCAGGCACATCCAGTTTCCGGGGCTGGCACAGTGTGCAGTACTAGGGATCGAACCCAGGTCCTTACGCTTGCCAAGCAGGCGCCTAGACCACCGTGCTCTCTCCACATCCCCAGTTTTTGTCCTTTTAGACTGATTTTGGATGCTAATTTGTCATCAATGGCTTTTATAAGATTGAGATAATCTATTCCAAGTTTCTTTTTCTTTCTT